AGCAAGCAATCTGAGAGAGAGCAAGGAGGACATCACGGTGACAGTCTCAGAAGTCACATACTACCGCTTCTTCCGTATGCTGTTTGTGAGGAGTGGGTCATTAAGTTCAGCTCACACTCAAGGGATGGGAAATAGGCTCAACCTCTCAAAAGTAGGAGTATTGAAAACATAGGAACATATTTTAAAGCCACCACAGGAGGAACAAAAGCACCTATCTGCTTTCACTGTCAGGTGTCACCTTAGAGAGCGCATATGCCACCTATCTGCTTTCACTGTCAGGTGTCACCTTAGAAGGTATAGGAATGACACTGAAGAGGTGGGATATAAGCCAGGCATGTTTAAGGGAGAGAAGAAGGAATTGCAGCAAAATGGGGTATTAGCTGGTGGGGTGTCTGTGAGATGTAGGGATGCCTGGAGCAGGTCTCTGGGAAATGGTGCCAAGGGGAGGCAATGGGCTTCACTCAGAGGATTTGAGTGGGAATGATGAGTTTTCTGCCCAAGGCAGATGTCAGTGTTTTGCAGAGTCCTAGCTAACTAGAGATAACCTGTCTGCCTCAAGTGGGGTTGGGGCATTCAGTGGGAAAGGTTTGCTGCAGCCACTCCATTAGCATAGGGTCTTGTCCCTCTCCCCATCAGGCTTCATTGGATGGCTGCTGGCACCCGGCCAGGCATGGGGTGGGCCATCTCAAGACCTTGAGAGTCAGACATTGTTTGCTGTTGATGCCGTGGTAACCTGCCTTAGATGCCCTGGGCTGTCTCCGCAGCTTCTAAGTGGGAACTTCCTGGCCTTCCCATCTGCCTGGACTTACCTGCTTCAAGGCAGGCTCTTGTCTTCATCTGGAGCAGGCCAGTTCAGGGTTTGTTAGATTTGTTAGCATTACTTTACAGAATAGGTCTGATGTGAATGAGTATGGGACAACAGGATGGAATATTGAAATTGGGCCATCTTGGAAAATCTGCGACATACCCCATCCTGTGACTGATGAGCCAGTCCCCAAGGGGGCCTGAGTCTGGCTAGCCTGCAGGCTGTGGTGGGGCTGGCTGAGACTCAAGTGAAACTACTCCCAGGTGTCATATGTGGCTTCAGCAGAAGATCCTGACGTCCTGTCACATTATTTTGTGGTGAATGTGGACCCTGGCCAGTGTTTGGCTGCTCCATGTGGCATTTTGGAAATCTTGCCCAGTATCCTGGCTTCATGGAAATCTGCACAGCTGACTTTCTGGAGAGTCTCTCACTTTGCCCTGTACTGGGGTAAAATGTCACATGGTCTCTGGATTCCTGGACCCCAGCTAAAGCCAGCCTGCTGAAGTCTTACCTAGCCCGAGTCCGCTAACCCCTAGGAAATGACATTTTTTCTGCCTCTCTGATGTTGTCTGCTCATAAACGCACGTACACGCACGCACACGCACGCACACGCACACGTGTCATACAAAGCTAGAGAAACTTTTTTCCTGATTATTTTTCCCTTTCCAGACAGGGACATCGATATATTTGAATCATGGCCGACAGTAATTAAAAAGCACATAACTAGTCATTTTAAAATGCAGTTGTTTTACTTAATTGATTTTGCCACCAGACACAGGGGGAAACAAAGAAAAGGGGGAAAGAAAACCTGAGACGAGGAGGCAGGTTTTTGCGAGTGAGTGGAGGCAGCTGAGGGCCCTGCTTGAGTCTAATTGCTGCCCATGCTGCAGTTTGTTTCTGCTAATGGTTTTCTGCTGAAAAGGCTGGGGGACCGGGCTGATTGGAGGGGGGTGGTGTTTATTTCAGCTGCTCTGGCAGTATAATTCTGCTTTCGGGACAGGGCCTATTTTTCCATACTATCAGCTTAAAGTACTTCTACTGAACACTTTGAATCAAGGTTCCATTTGGAGATACTTTATTCATATTTAATTACAGGCTACAGCACCCATCTTTAATTACCTTTTTTATAAGCCAGCTAGGAACATCCACTAGCAATCAATTAGAGAGAGAGAGAGAGAAAGAGAGAGAGAGAGAGAGAGAGAGAGGGGTGTGTGTGTGTGTGTGTGTGTGTGTACACACACACAGGAGGGTATGGACATATGACTTGCTTCCTGATAGAATGGGAAGAGATGGGAGGTGGCGAGCAGGCCAGGGTGGGGTGGGGTATCTGCCTGACAGACTCCCTGTGCGGAGTGAGTGCATCCTCATTTCCCATGCCTCTCTTTGCTTCCATTGATCAATTTGGGAATTCGGGCAGGTCCTCACAGCTGGGCTTTGCTCAGGGTGCTGAGTTGGCAGCTGGGCTTGGGTGGCATCTCGGACCCCCTCCATCCCTTGGTGGGAGCAGGAAATTGTGGAAGGCCCCCTTCCCATCCTCAGGGATGTGGTGTATCAGGCTTCTTCTTATCCTGGAGACTGAAATATGCTGGCCTCAGCCCTTTTCTTTCTACACCTCCCCCCTAGAGTGCTCTTGGCAGCTGTCCTTGCCACACAGCCCTAGCAATGCCATGTCACTCTTTGGTTGCAATGACTCTGCAATGTCCCTGCAATGACACTGGTTTGAAGACTGGTTGTCCTTCTCAGAGAATGAACAAATGTTTCCAGGGAGCCAGGCAGAGGCTTAGGATGGAGAGTAAGGTCAGATGACCTCCAAGTCCTTTGCTGTGGGCAGATGGGGCCATTCTAACTGCCTGGGAGGTGGGAGTCCAAGTTCACAGCTGTGCTCCAGAAAGCATTCTCCTTGGTGCTCCCTCAGGAACTGCCAGAGGGTTTCCAAAGGAAGCTGGAGTTGATCTCAACATATAATGGCCGGGAACGTTGCAGAAGCTCTACCTTCTGTTCCTGGATCCTTGTCCCATCAAGAGGTTGGAGGGAGAATGGAACTCACACTTCCTGAGCCTCTTGGGGTGTCAGGCACCATGCCCATGTTTCTTTGATTCAACCCAGATGGAGCTGAGGACACACTATATCAGTTGAACCTCTTCAGTTGTGTGTGACAGAAAACAACTCAAACTGACTTAAGCAAAGGAAGGACTTATAGGTGGGCATTCAAGCTTAGTTAGATCAACCATAGTGCTTAGGATTCACTCTCTCTGTCTCCTGGCTTTGTTTTCCTTTTTGTCATTACTCTGTGGCCCCTGGCATCTCTAGGTTTCAAGTTCAATTTTAGCAGGCCTCGGTTTCACACCCACCCTTGAGTAACAGATGGAGTGCACCTAGGTAAATCACACACATGACATGTGCTTTTACATTTGAGACCTTTGGATTAGTAGGAGTGTAGGAGCAGGAAGGTCCAGCCACTTCAAAGGGAAGAAAGAGTTCATTTAATTCTTCTCCAATGGAGAGAATAGTGGTTTCATTCCTTCAACAAATCCTTGTTTGTCACTGACTAGTTCAGCTCTGTTCTAGGCAGAGGGAATTCAGTAGCAAACAAAATTGACAAAAGGCACTGCTCACTGGGAGCTGATACTCTAATGAGGTTTATAGGGGTGGTAGTCTTTGTATTCTCCTAATCTAAGCCCAGGTCCAAGATAAAGGGTTCTTGAGCAGAGAGACCCAGGGTGATTCAGGGTGGATGATGTGGGAAGAATCGGGCCCTCAGGGAGCCTCAGTCTCACAAAGGGAGAAAAAGACAAGTCCATGGTTGGGGAAGAAGGAGGAAGTAGGCACTGGGAGGGGTACAGATGAAAACCCAATGAGGTAGAAGGGGAACAGGGAAGCCAAGCTGTACCCATCTCCCATGACAAAGAAGTGTAGGCCCCTCCCATGTTGCCTGGACCTTTGGCCTCGCAGGATGTTGATAAATGGGACAGAGTTTAGTGAAAGCTACAAAAATGATGACAGGGCTAGAGGGAGTGATTTATGAGACAAGATTAGCAAAGTGATGGTGCAACTTTGCAAACAGAGGGATGAGATGGTAGCTGCGGATCATGTGACTTCTGAAGTCCAAGGAGAGGAGAGGGGCTGGGTAGCTGCTGCAGAAGGGGACAAAGGGAGGCGGGGGCATGGACTGAATAGGCCTCAGTGTGCAAGCCTGAGGGGGTGTGAGAAGGGGGGGAGGTGTGTGATGATACACATACACATTTGTGCAGGTATGCGTGTGAATGTCTGGAGTTTGCAGAATTATGAGGCTATCCAGGGACTTCAAGAAATGGAAGGGATGAGAATTTCAGCCTTGGCCAATCTTGCAAAAAGCTTTTGGGGGCCTCCTTCCCATCTGGTAGAATATTTATATCTGGACCACGTAGGTGTGACCAGTCAAGTGAAAAAGACTTTCCCTTCAAGAAAATCGGTATGGCATTTCTAAGAGGGAAGGAAGGAAGGAATAAGGGAAGGAAAGATGGAAGAATAAGGGGTATACTTTCCATTTCATAGAGAGAGAAAGCAAGGCACAGAAAGGGCAGGGGATCTGCCCAAGGCTACCTTTGGGTGGCATTGCAGATGAGGACCAAATGCAAGGTTCGGGCTTGTAGCCCTGGGATCTCTACCAGGTGGCAGGGCTGAGAGTGGGCTGAGGGACCCATATTGAGGCTAATGTTCCGGCAGGAGCAGGAGGTGGTCATTGGATTTGCAGCTTCCAGCCAGGATTCCTTGAGCTCTCCAGGTCGGTGGGATTGGAAATCTTCCATCTGATTCCTGTCTTGGGGTTCCCTAGGCTCAGGTTCTGTTAACTTTTGATTATATCCATATGTGGGAGCTGTGGAGGCACAGTGGTGAGTAATTAAATGGACAGCTGATGCCTAGTTCTCAGCTTTCTAGACAGCATTTCTTTGGCCTTAAATGGAGGTACTCAGGGCATTTAGGCACATGTAGGAGGACACATCCTCCATGTGTGTTTTCGGTCTTACCCCCTCTGTATGCCTGGTGTGACTCTCCATGGCAGCAGAGGGCCCAGGCAAGGCACTGGGCTGGCATATAACTGGTAGAGCAGACAGTCTTATGGGGGCATTGGGCAGCACTGACACTGGCCCATCCTCCTGGCCTCTCTCACCGAACTGTCATCTTAATTGCTGTGTCCTCTCTCTACTCCTGACAGATCCATGATTTGTTTGTGAGCTTTGACGACACCCCTCTAGGGGCTGCCTCCCTGGCCCAGGTCCACAAGGCGGTGCTGCATGATGGGCGGACAGTGGCTGTGAAGGTCCAGCACCCAAAGGTGCAGGCTCAGAGTTCAAAGGACATTCTCCTGATGGAGGTGAGAACTTTCCCCTTTCACCTTCCTTCATCCTCATCCTGCATTTCCTTGCAATCCAGGCAGGCCCAGTGAAACTGATTCGAAGCTGGTAGGCAGATGTGGTACTTTGAGCTGAGGAGGGGCAGAGAGGAGCTTGAGACCACAACAAAGGAGATATCCTGACGAAGCTGTGACCATGAGACCCATGGCTGAGTTGGTTGGTTCTTTGTGATTTTTTTCTGGGAACTGTCTGTGGATGGTCTCAGAACATACTGAATAGCTGCTGGAGCCAAGTGGACCTCAGGAGCATGTTGTAGAAATGAGACGGACCAAAGGTGATTACCTTGGGCTTAGAAAAAGCTACATCTCAGTTCGTTAAATTATAATGAAAGAGAGCACATGGTCAACCAAAGGAAATGAAAATGCCAGGCCGCTCACACAGAAATACTTATGCAGATTGCATGTTTGCCTATCTGATATGTATTGAATGAACAAACGTGAGTGCCTAACAATGGCCCTGGGAAAAGCTCTAGTGGAGACCTTGCCTCTGGACTTTTCCAGCTCCATGCCCGGAGCAAGGGAGGGAGGGTGAGTAGGCCACTGCTGGGGCGGTAGCCAGCACCCACCGTGGGAGGTCAGCAGTCCATTTAATCTGCCAGCATGTCCCTCTTCTTCCTGCTCTCTTTCACTTTCCTTTGCTCCCTTTCCTCTCTCTGGACTTTAGTTTATTCTTTCAACTTGCTTTGACTAAACTTAACACACGTTGAGGGTCTCTTCTGCATCGAGTGAGCAACGTCTTCATCCTTGGGGAGCTCCTTGTTTGGTGGAGGAGCAGGTCTCTACACAGACAGCCACAATGTGGGGACACAGAGGGTATTTGTGAAGTGCTGTGGAGCACTATGCCTGGACTGACGTGGGCATCAAGGGGGCTTCACCGAGGAGCCCATGAGACAGCCAGACAGGGGAGGGACAGCCCAGCCTGTGCGAAGGCTCCGGGTCAGAGGAACAGAGTGTGCTTAGAAAGCTTCCACTGGCTCAGGTGCTGTGAGCTGGGAGTGGTTGCAGATGAGGCGCGCTGTGGAAGTAGACAGGACAGAACTTGGAGTGTTCCAGGCTCAGGAGTAGAATGGCGTACGTAGTAAATATGTATTTACTATGGAACTGAGCCAGTCTGATTTTATCTTGTAGTCAGTAGGGAACAATTTAAGATGTTTAATCAGGGAATGTCATGATCAGATGTGCATTAGAAATAAAAATATGTTGGCAGTCTGGAGGATGTATCAGAGGGAAGAAAGACTGTAGCTAGGGTCACTGATTGAGGGGCTGCTGCGGTGGTCTGAGAGAGAGATAATGATGTGAACCAAAGCAGTGTAAGGGGGTTCAAGGGTGGGATCATTAGGACTTTGTGACGAGCTTTACATGGGCTGGAGGCAAATACTGGTATGAACACGGAGGAGACGAAAACATATCATAGGTTTCTGGCTTAAATGATTACATTGGGATGCCTTTAACCACGTGTGTCAGTCAGAGTCCGGCTGGGGTAAAAAGAAATTGCTCTAGGTATTTCAGAGGGAATTTGAATTTGAAAAGAAATTGCTCTAGGTATTTCAGAGGGGATGGAAGTGCTGAGCAGCTAAATGGAGTGGTGAGACAATTACTGAGAGAAAGAAGCCACCCTCAAGGTGGAGGGACAGAGAGAACAGGTATTTCCCTGGAGCCCAGGAGCTGGGGCCACCTGGTGGAAGCTGGAGCCATGGAGAACTGGCCCAATGGGAGGTGGATCGCAGACGTACGGCCTGTCACCTGGAAGTTGGAGCCACAGATGCTGTTTGGGATAGCAGCATCCTCCTCCTGTCCCCCAGTATTCTGTCAGTGTGGCCCATTGGCCAAACCCAGCTGGAAACCAGTGGCAAGGGAGCCTGGGAAGTGTAGGCTCTGACAGGAGTAAGAGGGTCGGGATGCATTGCACTTTCAGGGCAAAGTGGAAGGGGTGATGGAGCAACCGTGTGACATAAGAGAGGCTGTCAGAAGTTCTGGGTCAGTATAGTTCTGTTTGCAGTTCAGGCAGCAAATATAGATTCAGGATTTACCAGCAAGGAGACTCACAGGAGCCGAATCTGGGGGAGTAGTTGAGATCACTTAGAAAAGGTCCATAGAGTGGGGGAAAAAAAAGGAGAGAGGACAAGGAAAGAACTCGGAGGAGCATGTTCACTTGAGCAGTGCTCCCAGGAGGGTAAGTTCCTGAGGGCACTAAGAAGGCATGGTAGAGAGACTGGAGGAGAACCAGGGTTGAGCAGTGTTTACATTCGATGAAAACAGTTTCAAGAAGAGAACACCGAGACAGTTGTCCAGAGCCGCATAGTGAACCGCACCGAAACGTAGTGGCTTAAAAGGACAGTCATGTGTTTTGCTCATGAATCTATAATCTGGGCAGGGCTTAGCAGAGACAGTCATCTCTATTTTATGTGGTGCCAGTTGGGTGTCTTGACTGGAACTAGAGGATCCACTCAAGGTGGCTCACTCACATGGCTGGCAAGTCGGTGCTGGCTGTTGGTTGGGAGCTCGGCTGGGGCTGTGGGTCGGGGCCTCAGATCCTCTTCGCGTAGGCCTCTCCATGGCTGTCTGGGCTTCCTCACAGCATGGTGGCCGAATGCCCCAAGAGCGTATATCCCAAGGGACTAAGGCTGAAAGTCTATGACACTTTTATAACCTCGCCTTGGCCATCATGTCGATTACCTCTTCCTTACTCTTTTGTTAAGAGCAAGAGTCGCAAAGTTCCCCTCAGTTTAAGGAGCCGGAAATAGACTGCACTTCTTGATGGTGGAGTGGCAAGGTTCTAGAAGAGCATTAGAATGAGAGAGATTGTTGCAGCAACTTGGGAAAATATAGTCTGCCAGAATTACCCAATGCTGTCAAATAGGAGATAGTAAAGCTCTGAAAGGGGCATTTGGAGCTTTTGGGAAGAGCAAGGACAGTGGGATGAGTGGGGCGCAAGAGGATCGAGGCCCCAGGGAATGGAGACGGATAATGTCGAATACTCTTTTTGAGTTTAGCCATGGATGGTGGGGGGAGAGAGGGTAGTGGTTACCGCAGAGCATAGGATTAGAGGCCAGGGGACTCCAGTCTGCTGTAGCTGATGGGGACGGTGGCAGCGGAGCGGGGGGATTGAAGATTCAGGAGAAGAAGTAACTGATAAATATGGTCCTGGAGGAGACTTGAGGGATTGGACTCCAAGGACGCAGGTGGAAATTAGCCTTGGCCAGCTTTTGTTTTGAGACTAGAGGAAGGTGGTAAGTCTGGGTACAGATGAGCGTGTGGGGCAGAAGGAGAAGGAGGTAGGGGGAAGTGGGCAGCTGCGTCGTACCATCCCGATAGCCTCTATTTTTTCTCCGAAGTAGGAGGCAAGACCATCTGCTGAGAATGAGGGGGTAGGCGGTGGCATTGGAGGCTCGAGTGGGGGTGAAGGTTTGGAATAGCTGTTGTGTGCAGTGGCAAAGGGAGCAGGGTTGCTGAGTGGCCCTGGGCATCCACCTGGAAACCTGAGTTTTCTGGAACACATGTCAGTGGCTATGGAATGGCCATTCCTGGGAGTGAACTGGGAGTCTCGGAGGATCCCTGGGTGTCCTGAGACCCAGCAGCCTCTCCTGCATCAGGTGGGAACCTGCCTCTGGCCAGCAGTGTTTTCAAGACCCATTTGGGCTGGGAGGACAGCTGATACCATTTTCTCTGCTCAGAGCCTCACTGGCTCCTTAAGTAATTGTGGCCATAAGGTCAATAGCAATAATAGCAGTAATAAAGATTTGACATCTTCTGGAGATAAGTATCAGATGCTTTTCTTGGGAACTGTGGCCTAGCAGCCGTGTGCAGAGTACAAAGCGGCTCCTTCAGTGACTGAGGCAGTGCTGGGGCTGGGGTGACAGAGCAGATCAGAGACCCGTACGCACAGCCTTCAGAGCAGAAGGTGGAAATGAGGCCCAGGGTCACCACCTCTGTGGACCATCAGCATTGACAGTAGCACTGGGTGGCACTGTCTTCTCACTGGGCTTGGTCTCTGGTAGAAAATATTCTACCTGGATCACCCTTCTCTGCTCTAAAGCTAAGAAGAGCCCAAGTGCAAAGCTCATTTTATTTTATATTTGCAATGAGTATGTATTTTTTCCTGAGTCCAGAACTAAACTGGTGCCTTGGTTTTAGGAATGACAACCCCAGAAGGGTGCCCAGGGCTGCTTGACAGGAGAAGAATGATATTGGGGGGGTATTAGGGCTACCTTAGCCCCCAGAAACTTGGAGACAGAGGGCAGGCAAAGCCACTTTTTTTGCCTTCTGATGCTTCCTTTCATGACAATTCCAAATCCTCTGTGCCCTCATGCTTCTTTCCCACTGCCCAATATTCTCCCTCTCTCCTCTCCAACCCTGGGATTGATCACAGCATGGTCTTGAGGGAAAGACAGTCTGATGAGAGTAATTCATACTAAGCAGGGAGTGACTAATAGTTTAACTTCCAGATTTTTGCAGTTTAAGAGGTGAGCTTGTGAATCCAAACACCTATGTGATACAAGGATAGGCCAACTAAAAGTGGGGAAATAATAGTAACTTGTTTTATCTCACATTTCAAGACATCTGGCAGTAGTGCTGTCTTTTCCAAGGTTGACCAGTCCAGCACTTCCTGTGGTCTTTAAGGACCTAGATTCCTTTTGTCATCCATTCTGCCATCCTGGCTCGTCCTTCTACAGTGATGCCTCTCATTGTCCCAAAACAGCTGCAGCAGTTCCTGCTATTAAAAGTAGATGCCAAAGAGGTCCTGTTTCTTCCTTCATATTCCTTATCAAAAAGGAACCCTTTAGTAGAATTCCCTTCATTTCTCACTGGCTAGAAGTAGGCCACATGCCCGAACCTAAATCATTCTTGGCAAGAGAAATGAGACCATTCTGACTGGCATAGACCAATCATGATTCACCTCAAGCTAAGGCTTACCGTTTTTGAAGGACAGGAAAGGTGAACAGATCTGAGGTTCTATTAGCTAGGAAGTTGGAGAAAATGGCTTTTGGGTGGGCACCCAATAACATGTGCCACCCTGCAAACCCGGCACTCCTTTTGGAGAAGGGGACAGTTCCTGGGATAGACTGTTGCATGGTTGGTGGCAGAGAAATGGAAGCTGACGCTTCGTAAAGGATGTTTGATGAAACTGTTGGTGACTTGGCACAAAAGAGAAAGGCACAGTCAAGGGTGTTTTTCAGCTTTGTCATTATCACCTGATATTGTCCCTTTAATAGTTGGGGCAACTCTACTTCCAGATGCATGGCCAGCGACTCTTATTGATTTGAGTAGCTGTCCAGAGCCAGACTAATTGGGCCTAGAGATTGGAACAATGAAGACAAGGCAGAGTCCATCCGTCTGCTGACGGGCTGGCTTTGCAGCAGTTCCTGCCTGCCCGCAATAGCAGGGAGCTTAGCTGACTGGATCTCACTGACATTCTCACTGAAGCAGGATAGGACTCAGGTGACCTGTGAGCCAGTGGTAAGATCATAATCCCCAGGTCCTAATAGCACCACCCTGTATCAGTCCGTGTTATATCTCTCAAGATTCTGAATTTGATGATGCATAGCCCCTTGCTCTGTTGCCTCCTAAAGAATCTAGCTCATGGCCAGGTACCCTGCCCTTCATGTACCACCTGCCCCCAAGGCGCTCTGTAATGCTGGGACGGGACTCTGGTCTAAGCACCTGAATCTGATCTGCCATCTGCTGTCATCTGGCCCATCCCAAGGATCTCTAAAAATAAAGACCTGTGACGACCATCCTTTTGACTTTTTTTGAACAACATTTTCAGTGTATGCTGTCTGTCATCTTGTTTCTTTTCTGAATGTGTTGATTGAACAGTGGGTGGCTAGGTAATGTTTGCATTTGGCACAGAATCCAACAGTTGATTTTATTTTTTAAAATATATTTTTTAAAAACTCAGGGATGTACGTAATCCCATGGAAACTTCTCTTCACCCTATAATTCTGTTTTCTAAAAAGTGTGCACTTTAATAACTTATCAGAACAAAGATAAACCCGTGAATGGCAAGCTGTTTACATCATTCTGAATTGATTTTCAATCCTTGTCGAACATCCATTTTTACCAGTTCGGATCCGTGCAGCCATTCTATTTAGTGCGCTGTTTTCCCGTAGAACATTATTTCTTTTTATAATATATAATAACTTGATAACAGTAACTCACATTTCAGTTGCATTTTACAGTTTACAAAGCTCTTTTTAGGCCTTATCTCAAGCTTCCTATTGTATCATCCTGCATTGTATTGCGTGAGACTGGGCAACATAAAGAAAGAAGCAAAAAAAAAAAAAAAAAGCCAAGAAAACAACTGAGTCCACGTTCCGCATTTGAAATTACAAGCTATGTGACCTTGAGAAGTGCTTTAACCTCCTAGAACCGATTTCCTTCTCTGCGAAATGGGCAAGAAGAGGATGAAATGAGAGCACGTATATAAACTGCCTTGTGACACAGTCCCTGGCATGTAGCAGGCGCTAAATAATCATAATTCCCCCCCCTTTTTTTTTTTTTTTTTTTGCTATTATAAATAGGAATCGCTAGTTTTCTAGCTCTTATATGACTTAATTTTTCCATTATATTTCTCTGTGGCCCACGATTGGTTTTTCTTCTGTGAGCCAGTGATCTTATAGGAAAATAATTTCATTATTCTACCTTAAAAGAAGACTTAATTGTTGAATATACCTTGATTGATTCATAAGGTTTTAAACCAAGTAGAAAATTCCCAGGCATTTCAAAACTGTGGTTCCCAAAAATTCAGAAGTAATCTCTTTTCCCAGCAAATCCTTAGAAACAGAAAAACTTAATCCATTTGAATAACAACATGTGAACATATAATTATCTCTGAGGAGAGGGCAAACCCTTTGAAATATTCATCTGTTCATTCTTTTATTCATTCACTCACTTATTCATGTGAATATTCAATAAACATCTGCTGAATATTGAGTATGTGCTAGGCACTAATGAAAATATTGGCTGTTGGAAGAATTTTATGGAGAAGATACATTTTGGAGGAAAAATCAAAAAGTCAAATAGATAACAACACCTGTTTTATTTTAGTTGATTGCATCTGTTGTCAAAAAAGTAACTTAAATGAATCTACTGAGGGCAGGCTCTTAAGAAAGGAATTGAATGAAAACAGAAGGTGAAACTGACTTATTCTATTCTCCTCAGCCGAGAAAAGTCTAAAATGGCAGACTTGGAGCAGACGATGCTTTATCTGACCCCTCTCCCCAAACCTCTCGAAGTTCAAGGGGTTGGTAAACCCCCTGAACTATGTGCAAAATTATGTGCGAATGTGCATTTTCTGAGCTTCATAGCTGGTGTTAAATTTTCAAATAAAGGGATAGTGTCCTCCTAGAAAACTAAGAACCCCTGACTTCCATTCAAACAGACCTCATTTTAAAGTAACCAAGGGAGTGACTCACCTACCACCGACAGAATGCTTTAGAAACCAGTTTTATGAGTACTGAATTAGTTTACTAATTAGTTATTAAGAATACTATCAATCATTAAAATCTTTTACTACTTTTATGACAAATGACATTAGGTATTAATAATAACCAATAGTACTAGTAATGACTAATTATATAATTGATTGGTAACAGAAAAATCTTTAAAGTGCCTATCAATGCTGTTCGGGTATTAATGATAATTAAAAATTTCACAAATCACAGTGACTGTATAGCAAATGATGAGGATTTATTATTTGGCCAGAAGCCTCATCCCCAGGTACAGACCCTACTAGGTGGTTGTAGCTCCCTGTGTCTATCTATGTCTGGCCCAGGGATGTTACCTAGGAAGTAGTCAGTAAATATTTATTGAACAAATGAGTGAGCCTCATTGTGGCTCCTTCCTTGACCCTACTGAGCGAGAAACTCCGGAATTTTGGCTGGAACCAAACTACAAAGAAGTTTCTTACCTGAACTCAGAGCTCAGAGTGGAATTAAGGTGGCTCAGGTGATGCGTGCACCGCTGGCCCAGGCCTGGGCAGGTGCTTCTTTTTCTTGCGTGCCTGCTATGCCTCCCCTTTGGCTACAGCTAAGGGCCAGCTGAGGTCACAGTGACAAGATTTGATGCCTGGAGGCTGCTGTGCCCAGGTGCGTGGGTCTGACACATGTGATCTGGACCTCTGCCTTCTAGTTTTGTGTGACACAAACAGAAACAAAACATAAACTAAATCAATTATCATAAGGTCACAGGTCTAGCCCGAGAAAGACTAGACAAGACTTAAAAGAAATTAGACTGCAGCCGAATGTAATTAAAAAAGGGTTTTGAGAGAAATTGAATATAATAACCCCGTGTGATGATTCTTTTAGAATTGTGTCTGGTACATCACCTAGGACTTAGGTTTAAAAACAAAACTGTAAATGGCTCTACTTTAATTTATTTCTTTTGTGCCACATATGCCTAACAACTAACATCGTACACCAGGGCAAAAAGAAGCATAAGACGAGACTCATAGCTGGGGTTCAGTGAATCCTTCTGGACTGAATGGATGGGTCTTAGACTGCTAGGGCTGTCATAACGAAATATCATAGACAGGGTGGCTTAAACAATAGACATTTATTTCTTACAGTTCTGGAAGCTCAAAGTCTAAGATCAAGGTGCCAGACAGTTTGGTCCTGGTGCTGACCTTCTTCCTGACTTGTAGACAGCTGCCTTTTCTCTGTGTCCTCACATGGCAGAGAGAGTGAGCTCTGGTCTCTCTTTCTTCTCTTTCTCTTTCTGTAAGAACACTACAAGGTACCAACAGGCCCATGGTTCTTTAGTTCGAGCTCATTTAGTTCTGCTCCAGCCAGGAGTAGAGATGAGTGTGCTCAGAGAACTTGGACTATAACCTATACCAAGAATCACTGGGAGGCTTGGTCAGTGGTTCTCCTCAGGCCCCAGTTTTGAACACTGACAAGGAGGCCTTGTAGGAGAGCAGGAGAGTTGCATACTGGGTATCCCCTCCCGGAATGCTGGAATGTCTCCCATGTCCCTGGCATCACCCCTGCTTGCCCACTACACAGCTTAAGAAATAAACACAAACACAGTTCCAGACTGACAGCATCTCCAGCCTGTGTAAACAGGGCCACGAAGCCCAAATCGGGGAGCCGCAA